AGCCGGGCGGTGGTGGCGCACGCCTTTAATCCCAGCACTCGGGAGGCAGAGCCAGGCGGATCTCTGTGAGTTCGAGGCCAGCCTGGGCTACCAAACCCTGTCTCGAAAAAAAAAAAAAAAAAAAAAAAAAAAAAAAATATTGGACTCATGGCCAGTAGAAAATGATCAGGCCTCAGCCCACACCGGCAACCTGATAAAAAGCTGTCCCCTTTGCTTTGAGACAGGCTGAGAAGTGCTGCTTCCATCCTTGAGGAAAAGCCCCCATTAAAGCTGTGCTGCATGCTGAGCCCACACTCTTCGGCTCATTTATTTCTGCTATCATTAAATCAGAAGTTCCCTGGACGAGCTTCAGAGCTGTGGACCTCCTCAACACACTTCAAACAGTGAAGATGGAAGCCGTTGGGGTTTTTTAAGTTTTTTGTTGGTGGTTTTTGTTTGTTTTGTCTTTTTTTAAGACAAGGTTTCTCTGTGTAGCCCTGGCTGTCCTGGAACTCACTCTGTAGACCAGGCTGACCTCGATCGAACTCACAGAGATCTGCCTGCCTCTGCCTCCTGAATGCTGGGATTAAAGGTGTACCCTAGCACACCCAGCTGAAGATGTAAGTTTTGTATTGTGTATTTCTCGTTGCATTTTTGCCCCCAGGGGGAGACAGTCTTGCTAAACAGCGCAGGCTGATCTCGCAATCTTGGTGCTTCATTCAGCCTTCTGATCACAGGCATGTGATCCCATGCCTGGCACAACAAACATTATTTTCTAAATAAGGTCATACTAGATAGCTCAGGCTAGCCTTGAGCCTGTGGTCCTCTTGCCTCATCCTTTTAAGGACTTAAAGACATGAAGTACCATCCAGGCATGGTGGCAAACGTCTTTAATCTCAGTACTCAGGAGGCAGAGGCAGGTAGATCTCAGTTCAAGGCCAGCCTGGTCCACAGAAGGAGTTCCAGGACACCTAGGGTTACACAGAGAAACCCTGTCACCAAGTACCACACATGGTTTTAAAAAAAAAAAATTAAGCGGTGTTTTTCTAGTAAAAAGTCTTCCTGTGGGGGAGGGGCGTAAGATAGACAAGGCATTTCTCAAATGCTCCTTGATTCCACCACCATTCTAGGGTCATTTGTGATTTTTTTTCCCCTCCACTTGGAGGTTCTGTTGCAAACATTTTGGTCAGCCAAGTTGCTCCCAGCCAGTTTTGGCAAGGTCTTGTTTTCCTCGGTATAGACACATAATGCTCTGCTTTAGGGCAACTCTGCTGTTGCATCAGTTTTTGGTTGCCAGGCAACTGCCTCTTTCCCTGGGTTATCTGGAGCCTACCTCATTTCCCTGTCACAGATGTCCACCCTCCATCAGGAGCTTTTCAGATCCTTGTGACAAAATACCTAACAGCAGCAGCAGCACAGCGAGATTTACTAGAGAAGGAGTTTAGTCTGAGTCACAGTTACACGGTGTGAAAGGGGAGCAGGAGGGGGAGGTGTGACAGTCAGGACATCCGTAATGGGAGGTGACAGTTTCTCACGTCTTTTCTTTTTTTTTTTCTCTGGGTAGCCCCGGCTGTCCTAGAACTCACTCTGTAGCTCAGGCTGGCCTCAAACTCACAGAGATCCATTCTGCCTCCCGAGTGCTGGGATTAAAGGCGTGTGCCACCACCACCCGGCTCTCACATTTTTTTTTTTTTTTAAGATTTATTTTTATTTTGTGTACATTGGTGTCTCCCCTGCCTTCGTGAGAGTGTCAGATCCCCTAGGTCTGGAGTTACAGACAGTTGTGAGCTGCCTTGTGGGTGCTTGATTGAACCTTGGTCCTCTGGAAGAGCAGCCAGTGCTCTTAACTGCCAAGTCATCTCTTCAGCCAGTTTCTCACATCTTGATGGAGTGGGAGGCAGAGATGGTAGACTGGACCCAGGGTGGTATATCTTCAAGGCCTGTCCCTGGCAACCTTTCTACCAGCTAGACCCCCCCAAAACAGTGTCACCAGTTGAGAATCAAGCATTCAAACATGTGGGCCTGTAGGTGAAATTTAGCATCCAAAGCATAACACGTCCCTTACTCATGAGGGTTGTAAAAGGGCAGAAGTCCAGCATCTGGGACTTCCCGCTGCTGAGGATGGAGCAGCTGACTGCGGTGGGAATAGAGATCTCTGGCTTTTTGACCAGTAGGACCCAAGGCGCTAGAGGTGACTCTGAAGTTGAAATGGCTGGAAACCTTCTCGGGCCATCATTCTAGGATGTAGGATAGTGAGTTTGAAGCCAGCCTGGGCTACATAGGAAGACTCTCAAAAAAAAAAAAAATACACACATATTTTTAAAATATGGTAAGTACCAGATTAAGGAAAGTAATTAACAGCCTTTCAAATTGTACTGGCAGGTGAATTCTCACGTCCTAAAGCATGAAGCCATTTAGCCTGGTCATAATCTGTCCATATCTTCCTTATTTGTCCTGCAGGGTTAATAGAAGTGGTACAGATTTCGTTGATAAGCATGTAGACACACCCTCCCCACATCCCCCTCCCCACGTGACTAAGAGATAGCTCAGGACAGGGCAGGATCTGATACTACCTTAGCCAGAGTCAGGGGACAGTTTTCAGCGGCTGGCTGTTCTGGCTTCCTTCTGTTGCTGTGATAAAACTCTGACAAAGGTGACTTGGGGGAGGAAAGGGATTCTGTCAGCGTGCAGGCTTCAGTCTGTCCCCAAGGGACACCAGGGCAGGAGCTCAAGCAGAGACACCATGGTGGAATGCTGCTTGCTGTTTGCTCTTGAGCTTGCTAGGCTAGTTTGTTTGTTTGTTTGTTTTTTTAACAAGGCCTAGGATCACCTGCCCAGGGAATGGTGCCACCCATGGTGGATGGGCCTTTCTACATTAATAATCAAACAATACCCACCCACCCACCAAGACATACCCACAGCCCAACCTCCTGGGGGAAACCTTCAATTGTGACTCTCTTCTCAGGTGACTTTAAGCTGTGTCAAGTTAACAGTTAAATTAATTGGGATACTGGACATATGGAGCCTTTCCAGGGATCCCCTGGTCCCAAGTCTGAGATTTTACCAAGGATTGGAGTTCTAGCAGAATTTTCTTCTGTCCTCTGTCTTGATGGAATAATGTCAATATTGTTAACAATTGTCCTTTTGGGTTTTCAGAGTATAGGCTTATGCCAGCACCCAGGAGGCAGAGACAGGTAGATCTTTGTGTATTCAAGGCCAGGGTGGTCTACATAACAAGTTCCAGGCCAGCCAGGGTTACATAGAGAGACCCTGTCTCAGAATCAAAAACAAAAGGCTTAACTATGAAAGAGAGACACTAACCGATGAGAACTATAACCGTGGAAAGCTAGGCAGGAGTCAGTCACCAGGATCCTCTGAGACGCATGGAAGCTAACACACAGGGCCATCTGCTAACAGAGGCACCATGTGGCAGAGAGAAGTCACAGCAGCAGGCTAAACCTCTAGCTCAGCTTGCTGGAATTAGGAAGTCAATGACATGGCCCCTTTCTGGTTCATGTGCTTTAGGGTTCCTGGGTGGCATTTGCTGATGATGATGATGCTGATGATGCAGCTGATCCAAGACATTAAAACAGCTGAGGTACCTGGACTAGGACCTGTGTATCTGTCTTAGACCTGCTTCCAATGTACTCCCATTTGCTCACCTTGAGAAGATTAATTCGTATGAGACTCACATGGTAGGGGGTAAGAGGTATTAGCATCGAGAAGGCCTTTGGGGGATACCTCCTTGGTCCTGAGTTAGACTTTCTCTGAACAAACCACACCTTTCTGGTTATAGAAATTAATGTGCCTTCAGTTCGGATATTGGTCTCCCAAAGGCCCATGTCTTAAGGACCCCCAGACAATGGGCTATTGGGAGGCAATGAAACAAGATGGTACCTAGTGAGAGGTCATGAGGGGATCTGAGAACCCTGGCCCCTTATTGTTTCTTTTTGCTCTTCCTGCTTCCACCAAGATGTACTGCCTCAAAACAGGCCTAAAGGCCATGGGTCATGTGACCATGGGTCAAAAACTCCATTCTTTTTTGTAGGTTGACATACCTGGTACTTGTCACGGTGATGGAAAGGGTGCACATCCCTCACACATCACAAATTTGTAGAAGGCAGGGACAGCGCTATGTTTACCACTGTGTCTCTGTCGCTTTGGATGGTGAAACAAAGGGTGATTTTTTCGAAAAACAAAACAAAACACAAAGGGTGATTTTTATAGTGAATCTCCAACCCTAAATTCAGGGTTGTCCAGGAAGAAGGGGAGACACCCTTTGGTGTCTGATGCTGCATCGTTTTGAGCTAGTATTCGAATGATGGAAACTGGGTACCAGTGCGTGCTTCAGTTTTGAGAGCGGGAAAAACAGGCTGATGACTGGAGCTAAGACATGGCTTGCCCTGGAGTTACCAAGTGGAAGGTAGCCTCCAAGTTCTGAAATGCAATCATTTGGCCTAACATAAAACTTTCAGTTATGACACAAAGGAAGAATAAATCCAGATATCACAAAAATCTATTTTATTTTTATCACAGCTAACATCTCAGCAAACAGTTCATGATAGCTCTGGAGGAGAGGCCTGGCTTGATGCTCAGGCCTTCACCATGGTGGACATACTCCTTCCAAAGGGCTGTGGAGGAAGCTGGAGTGTTAAAGTACACGGTTAACACTGTCACAGAGGACTGGGGGGTGGTGACAGAGCTGAGACCCATCTGCATGTTAGGCACACACTCTGCTGTGGAGTTATGTACCTCCTTCCCAGGGGACTTACTTGCAGATGAAAACAGGCAATTCTTTGTGGAGACAGAGAATACATGTGGGACTCAGTCTTTTACAAAAAGGAATTCAGAGTGCGACGCCCTTGACCTATTAGACCAATTTCATGGAAGTATTCTACCTTTTACTTTAAAGCCCCCCCCCCCCAAAAAAAAAAGGTTAGGGGGTGATGGTATACACTTATAATCCCAGCACTCAGGAGGCTGAGGCAGGGGGATCACAAGTCTGAGGCCATCTTGTGCTGCATGGTTTGTTGGTTATAAAGTAGCTAAGCTACTTCTCTGACTCGATGTGAAGTTGCAGAGCATTCCTGGGGTGAAGCTGAATCAGCCAGAGCTTTTTATGATGTCATTGGGTACCGTCTGGGGAGTAGGGGGTGTGGACAGGGGAGTAGAGCTCCGGTTCCTGCCCATTTATCTGCTACCTACCCCCATGGCGTCTTGTCCCTGAACCACAAAAGAAGTTCCTGGTTAGTCATCAGGAAGCCCTGAGCAATGTATCCCAGGATATTTCTGATGATCTTTCTCATTTGCTGGTTGAGGAGTGAGCAGCGGGAATGAGGGGCAAGGACAGGGCCTTCTGTGTCTCAAGAGTGGGCAGTTAAACACAGCAAGGAGCGAGAGGCTCGATCGCCGGTCAACAATCAGACTGAAATTTCTAGAAACCGGAATAAACTCAAAAGAGAAAGACGAGCTCCCGATGGACTGGTGCAAGCCACAGGGGGCCCCGAAACCCTGTTTGAGGGGACAGTGCAGGACGGGAATGGAGCCTCACATCTGTCTCTTCCTCCCTCCTCCCCGTTAAAGGCTGGTAGCTGAAGTCACTCAAGCAGAGTTGTCCCTGGTCAGCAGTGATGTGAGTTACACTCTTCTGCCTTTATGTCAGCAAACTGGCTCTCCTCGTCTCTGCTCAGCTCTCGCTGCCTAGAGGCCCGTTTCCTCCGGTTTCTTTTGCAGGGCTGGTAGTTCAGGTAGAGTGCTATGGGGATGACAGCCTTGCCAAGGGCGCAAATGATGATGACGAAGATGGTGGAGGGGTCGATCCCTTCACGCAGTCCTGTGTGGGCACAGAAGACAGACCTGGGGAGGAGGGCTGAGGACAAGACAATCATTCCACCCCAAGACACCGACCCACTTCTCAGACACATCTTCTCCAGCCCAGGAGCATTTTGCTTCCCTCTACACTTGTGAGAACTCCAAATCTGGAGGGAGGTGGCAGGGGGCGGAGTGGGGGGTTGGGAGCAGGACTTTCTACCCCAAGCCTAGCAGCTAGTGCGGCAGGTACCTTGGACGACGACAGCAATGTCTTTGCTGACAGAGCCGAGCTGGTTAGTGGCCGTGCAGCAGTAGGTTCCGGTGCGGTTCTGGGTGGCCTTCTGGGGTACATCAAGGTCAATGATCATCCCATTCCAGATACACACCAAAGCTGGGGCGGGGTTTCCCTCTGGGATGCAGGCGAGCATTTGATCCATCCCTTCTACCCATATCTGGTTGCCAGGGCATCCGGATTCCTCTAACCGAGGCTTGTCTGCAAAAGAACCCCCAAAGGAGCCTAGCTCTACGTCCTGCTCCTTTCTCACTTCCGTTCATAGCTCCCTTCCCCTCCTTAGCTCAAATGTTGCTCTCTGCTTAGAATAAAACTTGCTCTCCTCCCTTCTCTGTGCAAAGAAAATGAGATGCAGCCTAGGACTTTTTTTTTTTGGTTGGTTGGTTGGTTTTTCGAGACACGGTTTCTCTGTGTAACCCTATCTCCCTATCTGGAACTAGCTCTGTAGACCAGGCTGGCCTTGAACTCACAGAGATCCACCTGCCTTTGCCTCCCAAGTGCTGGGATTAAAGGCACGCGCCGCCAACGCCACCACCACCACCCGGCCAGCCTAGGACATTTTTATGGACCCAGGCTAAGAAGTAACACGGTTCCATTGCTGGGGCCCAGGGCTTCTCAATGGGCAAGGAGTGAACTCAGAAATAAGGATTTCCTCGTTTTCCAAAACACAAATTGTGATATGGAGTTTTTGGAGGCTCCTCTCCTTAGCATCGGCCTCAGCTGTCTCCTTTTATGCTGTCTCCTAGGCACTGGCTCTCAACTAATTGTTTCTGACACAGCACCACATTCCAATATTGTTCCCACTCACTTGCCCAAGGGCAAAGATGAGCTCGGGCATGTCCATTTTGTTTTCTTCTCTGGGTTTTTCCAGTTAGAAAAGTGCGGCCCCTCTACTAATGAAGCCATTAGCCAAGCAGGAAAACCAAGCGCCTCGCCTTGTCACGGACCCTCAGGCCTCTACTCACATAAGACATGAAGCTGGATCTCGGTGGTTTTGAGCAACCGCTGGCCCTGCACTTCCAGAGTCGCTTCACAGGAGAGATTCCGGCCATCATCTTCCTCCCTGGCAGTAAACTGAAGCCAGGCAGGCTCCCCAGGAGCAGAGAGGTTTGAGGCTCCCCAAAGCCGAAGAGTAGGGCTAGGTGATGTTAACGCATGACCCGAGCAGGTCACATTAACATCCGTCCCTGCCAGAGGGTAAGCATCTTCTACCTCCAGGACTGGTGGAGGGAAACCTTCAAAGAAGGAAAAAGAACAGTGGACACGTTCTCCAAATTGGTGGCTGTCCCTGTCCTCCTGAGGCTGCAGGCCTCCCCTGGGGAGACAGTGACAGAAGAGAGACTTTGGATAGCGTTAAAGCTTCTGTAAAGGCTGAAGAGAGAGAGCACCTCTGGCTTGAGGATTGAGAGCTTCCCTCCCAACGACAAAGCATGCCCACGTTTGGCTGTCTCTCCTGCGAGGACAGCAGGAAGTCTCCTCATCGTACAGCTTTCTTTCTCATCTCAAATGCTTATTCTAGAATGAAGCTCAAGCATCTGCAACTGCGCAATGAGCAGGATAGGTCAGGAAACTGAGGACAGAGGCCACCCAGAGCCGCTGTCACCATGAGGTCCTAACCCCCCTCTGTCAGAGAAAAATGAAAGCTAACAGCACATCACTGTGAAAACCCTCCTTAACAGAGGCCCATACAGGGAGAGAGATGGCCACGTACTGTAGACATGCACTGGTGTCCTGACTTTCTGCTCCACGGGACCCAGAGACACAAGGCAGGTCAGCTCCTGGTCACCGGTCTCCATGGCCTGAACGGTGGCGCTGGCCCACGCTGCATCTCCCTTCCAGGAGGAGAAGGGGCTCAGCTCCTGGCCTTCAAAGAACATTCTGAAGACAGCTTCCTGGGCGGGAAACACCCTGGCCACCTCACAGTTCATGGTCTCTGCCACCCCAACCTCCAGGAGTGAAGACACCCCGATCTGGGGACTCTGAGAGAATTCTGCCAAGTAATTGCGAAAAAGAAAGAAAGAAGAAGGAAAACTAAGTCATGTGTCACATAGGACACCATGGAATTAGAGGCGGGGCTCAGTCACTCTCACCTTCTAAACCTGTGGGACCAGGGTCCCCAAAGGCCAAAACAGGCCCTGGGTTCTCTTCATGCCTGGACTCTGACTCACCAAAGATCCGGAGCTCCTTGGTGGCTGATCTACCATGAAACAACCCCCCACCTTGCGGGCTCAGATCCAGTTCTGCATGGCAGGAGAAATTACTCCTGTCACTCTCCCGTTGGGCTCTGACATTGACGGTGACCTCAGCACTTTGGGATGGCCCAGATAAACTCGTGAAATCCTTTCTGTATAGTTCTTGGTCGTCCTGGAGAAGGGTAAGGATGAGGTTCTGCAGGGGTGCCACACTAGGCACATGACACGTCACTGTGAAAGCTTCCTCCATGGCCACCCACTCGGGCTGCAAGTCCAGGATCACCTGCTCTGGTGGCTCTTTAAGACAAAAAGACAAGCCTTGGTGAGGGGCCACTCACCTCTAGAAAGAAATGACATTGCAGAAGGTGACCGCTACCCTTAAAGCTCCATGCGATAAGTTAGCCTGCCAGCTCTCTGTCCATTGAAGGTGGCCATGGCCGAGAATTGTGACAACTAAGAGGAAGTCCTTTGCTTTGATTTTTCCTGCCATTCTGGAACATTTTATCTCTTATCAACAATGTTTCAGAGGCATGAGAAGCTGGGGAGTTGGGGGGGCAGCGTTTTCCACTCATTCTTATCTTTGCAAGGCAAGATGGCCCCCTGTAGGACCCTGATTACCAGTCCTAACACCCCAGGGCCTCCTGCTCTACAGGGCAGCTCAGGAACCACTGGCACCACAGGCTTCTTAACTACCCTAGCCTTTACCCGCAGGTCTTTAATCACAGCACTTGGGAGGCAGAGGCAGGCGGATCTCTGTGAGTTTGAGGCCAGCCTGGTCTACAGAGTGAGTTCCAGGACAGGCACCAAAACTACACAGAGAAACCCTGTTCAGAAAAACAAAACAAACAAACAAACAAACAAACAAACAAAAACTGTCCTTCCTGCAATCCTTGGTTAGCCTAAGAGCTGGCAAAAAATAAGCCAGCACTAATTCACACTTGTCTGGCCACTCAGAAACTGGCATTCTTAGTGTCTGCTCCCTGTACATTCTGTGTATTCTCAAGTGTGCCCCAGGGCCAACAGTGGAAACTCGGAAGATAGCCTCTACAGATGGAGAGAATCCTGACAGTGTGACTGAATCTTAATTTGGGGGTTGGGGGGATGTAATTCCCCCCCCCCAAGTAAAACCCTAATTCTTCCCTAACTAAGATGCATTCCTGTTCCCCCACTCCTCTCTTCTTCTGGGCCCTCCCTCCCTCCGTCCTACTCACGGTAGATGGTGATGGGGAGCGTTGTGTCCTTCTGGACCCCCGCACAGGAGAAGAAGCACTGCAGGACGGAGTTCTCCGTGACACCCTCCAGGAGAAACTCCTTCCACTGAGGCCCTTTGCCCAGCTGGCTCTTCTTGAAGGAGGTCTCGACCCCACTGGGCCCAGGGTCTGGGCAGGTAGTGCTGCAGTTGACAGTCAGGGACTGTCCAAACTCCACCAGGGCCCGGGGTGGCCACACAGACACTTCAAACAGCTCTTCTGTGGTCCCTGAAATGAAGCACACAGACCAAAATCTCTGGTGAGGACCAGGAGATCCAGCACAAGCAGAGAGGCTGTTCTATCCATTAGCTCTAAGTTGAAGAAGCGGGAACTGTTCAGGGATCTGGAGAATAAACCTTTGAATCAACAAGTGCGAGCCTTGATCCCAATCTCTCTCCTGCTCTTCTGTCCTGGGCTCCAGATTTTTGTTTTGTTTTTTCCTTTTGGTTTTTCGAGGCAGGGTTTCTCTATGTAGCCCTGGCTGTCCTAGAACTTCCTCTGTAGACCAGGCTGGTCTGGAACTCAGAGATCCACCTGTCTCTGCCTCCCGAGTGCTGGGATTATAGACATGTGCCACCACTGCCCGGCCTGGGGTCTAGATTTTACCACAGATCTAAGGAGGTGCTAAAAGTCATGCCCTGGAAAGCTTCCAGAGGCCCTAGCAGCTCTCTGGGCTCAGACACTAAATACCCAGATGGGGTCTTTGCTCTTCTATGGCACAGCAGTATTCTCTCAAATGACAGTTCAGGGCTCCCTTCAGCAGAATTGCCTGGGATGGCTGTGAACTGCAGAGCCTGACTCTACCACAGACAGAGACCACCCACTAGTGAAGGGGGCCCTGGCAATGTGCCTGAGAACAGAACAAGCCTCACGGGAACCCTGCTGTGCACAAACCATGAGAACTAAAGAGCTCAAGGAAGCCCGCATGCGCACTTATCTCCCACGGAATTCTCTACCTCTTCTCAGATTACTCTGCTTTGCTTTGTGGTGTTGTGAAAGTGAATGTTTTCAATCTTTGCTGGTTAACCTGTATTATGTTGGATCTCATATGTCCCCTGAAGCCCAGATGCTAGAAGCTTGTTTCCAGCCCGTGGCACTATTGGGAGGCAGTGGAACCTTTAGAAGATGGGACCCAGCGGAGAGGGCCCGGCATGTATGTCTGTGTACCAAGAGCATGTGTGGTGCCTCTGGAGGTCAGAAGAAGATGTTGGATCCCTTGGAAGAGTATAGAATGGTTGTGAATGGCCAGGCGGATCCTGAGAACCAAGTCCAGGTCCTCTCCAAGCGCAACCTTGCTCTTAACTGCTGAGCCATCTCTCCAGCCCCAAGGGAAATATTTTTGAGAAGATAGAGGAGGAGCTGGGAATGCAGCTTACCTGGTCCTTTACTTGCCTAACATGCACAAAGCCTTGAGTTTGACCCCCAGTACTGCATCAAACTGTCATAGTGGCACAGCCTGCAAGTCCAGCACACTCAGGAAGGAGAAGCAAGAGGATCAGAAGTTCAAGTTCATCCTTGGCTACATGGGGAGTTTGAGGTCAGTCTGGGGTATGGAGCTCGTCTCTACATAAAATTTTAAACTTAAAAAATAAGATGACGGCAGTAAAGGCAGGCAGCTCATCCCAGGCGCAGCTCATCCCAGGTGCAGCTCATCGCCTACAGTCAGGAGCACGGATGTATGAGCTCAGCTCTCTCTCTCTCTCCTTTTAGTCAGTGCAGGTTCCCAGTGTCTAGAATGGGGCCACCCACGGTGGGTGGATCCCCCCATTCCAATTAACCTACCCAAGATAATCGCCCTCAGGGGCATGTGCAGAGTCTCTAGAGCAATCCTAGATCCATCAAGCTGACCACCCCATCCCCTTCGGCATGATCAACCTTGTGTGTCCTGGCACACAGTGCCTAAAGAAACTTTTCTAGGTAGCCTCACCAGGACAAGACATCAAGGCCAGCAGGATCCAGATACCAAGCAGAAGCATCTTCATTCTTGGGAGAAAGACCAAAAGCTAGGGGGAAAGAAAAGAAAGAAGTTCTGGAGAGAGATTTTTTCATTACATTTTCCTAAGAACTTTACGTGTATGAGTGTTTTTCCTGCATGTGTACTGTGCACCACACGTGTCCCTGGTGCTGGTGGAGGTCAGAGGAGGCACTGGATCCCCTGAGACTGGAGTTAGAGATGGTTGTGAGCCACCATGTAGGTTCTGGGCATCAAACCAGGGTCCTCTGCAAGAGCAGCCAATGCTCTTAACCTCTGAGCCCTCTCTCCAGTCTGGAGAATATTTTTATGAGTCAAATGTACCAGGAAGCCATTTGCTGTAGAGTCTGCCTACTGTCCAGCACTTGAGCTAGAAGCTGGGGGTCAGGAGTTCGAGGCTGTCCTCCTTGAAGGATAGGACGACAGCCTGGGCTACACGATACTTCATCTCAAAAGAGAAAAGGACTGGAGAGGCCAGCCTGGTCTGCAGAATGAGTGAGTTCCAGGACAGTCAGGGCTACACTGTGTCTCCAAAAACCAAACCAACCAACCAACCAAACAAAACAAAACACATTTAGCTGGGCAGTGGTGGTACACACTCTTAATTCTAGCTCTCGAGGCAGAGGCAGGCAGATCTCTGTGAGTTCGAGGCCAGCCTGGTCTACAAAGTGAGTTCCAGGATGGCCAGAGATGTTACACAGAGAAACCCTGTCTTGAAAAACCAAAAAGAAAAAATAGAAAAGAAAAAAGAAAAAAAGGAGAAAAAGAAAGTACTAGAAGCTGGGTGGCAGTAGTGCACACCTTTAATCCCAGCACTCAGGAGGCAGAGCCAGGGGGATCTCTGTGAGTTCCGGGCCAGCCTGGTCTACAAAGCGAGTTGCAGGAAAGGCACCAAAAATTCACAGAGAAACCCTGTCTCGAAAAACAACAAAACAAAACAAAAAAGAAGAAAGAAAAAGAAAGTACTAGAGAACACACACACACACACACACACACACACACACACACACACACCCCTGAAACCTCACTACAGCAAGACTCTCAGTGTGGTGTTTTGAAAAAACTTCCTGAATCTAACTGATGCAGGTTTGGTCTGTGCCCACGGACAGAGAAAAAGAAGGGAGGGATGCTTGATTCCAGTTTCCCGTGTGGATCTATTGTACCTCTCCTTTTACTAGTCTGTCTTGTCTGTCAGCCTGAGTCAAAAGGAGGTGTCATCGGGGAAACACGAGAAACAGTGTTTGGAGAGATGAGACCTGGCAGTGTTTAGTTGGCCGTGTTCAGAGGAAAGTGACCCTGAACACAGTCACTGGAAGCTTGCTCTCTGACGTAAGGGAGAAATGTTTGGACCTGGCTTCTTCAGGACCTCAGGAGCATCTCTCAAGACCGTTGTCTCTCCCTGATTCGCCCTCACATCCAGCAAACAAACAGGCTCCGGCCTCCAGCTTCCCAGTCCACGCTCAGGTCAACTTCCCAGAGTTGTTTGCTTTCAAACCCAATTTAAAAACCAATGTCTTCTAAAAGTTCCTTTTCTTCCTCTTTCCTCCCCTCCCTGTTTGTTTGCTCATGGGGAGGCAACTGTAGGGGCAGTTGTCTGTGTTCACCCCTGAAGCACCGCCCCTGGTAGGCAGCAGGTAACTGCTAGGTACCTGCCCCCACCCGGGGCATGGCCGAGACAGGGACCCCTTAAGACCTAAGATGCATACGTGCTCACTCGCTCTTGGCTACCTCGTGATCCTGGATGCTGGACCGCAGACCAAGTCAGAGTTCTCCAGAGAACGTCGTTGGACTGCGCCTCACCTCTCCAGGCCAGCCAAGGCTACAGAGTGAGAACCTGTCTAAACACACACACACACACACACACACACACACACACACACACACACACTTTGGAAGGACATGAGCTTATTCCAGAGATGAGACCATTATTCAAAATCTGTTGGGAGTGATTTTCAATTTGCCTTTCAGTTACATAAGAAAAAATAATTTTCTTTATTAAATTATCCTTTTTGTGTGTGCAAAAAAGATACTAGTCACAGGAGTTGCCCAACTTAGCTCTACTGACTTACATCTCTTTCCTAAGATCTGTCACTATTTAACATATTCTAAAGAATACCTTAACTAGACTCGGAAGGAATTTCCAAACACAAGCTGAATAAGAACTCTGAAGGAAATGCACCAAAGCCCCAGATGGGCCAGATGTTATCCATCAATTTTTATAAACTTATTGTTGAACATGCCAGGCTCTTAGTAAAATGGGGAAGAAATAGCTTGGCGGTGGTGGCACACACCTTTAATCATTGCACTCGGGAGGCAGAGGCAGGTGGATCTCTGTGAGTTCCAGACATCCTGGTCTACACAGTGTGTTCCAGGACAGCCAGGACTACATAGTGAGACCCTGTCTTGAAAAACAACAAAAAGATGAGTAAGAAACACCCTTAGTCAAGTTTAGTAGAAAAGACAAATGTAAAACGTAAGTGTGTTGTTGCTGGATAGTGGTGGTGCACGCCTTTAATCCCAACACTCGGGAGGCAGAGGCAGGTGGATCTCTGTGAGTTCAAGGCCAGCCTGGTCTACAGAGTGAGTTCCAGGAAGGCGCAAAGCTACACAGAGAAACCCTGTCTCGAAAAACTAAAAAACAAGAAAAAGAAAAAAAGAGAGAAAAAGGTAGTGTTGCTAAAAGCTGTAAGAAAAGGTGTGGTTGGTCTAAGGAAGGGTTCACTCAGTGGCAGAATGCTTGTCTACCACTCACAAGGTCCCAGGTTCAAACTCTTGCGTCGGGGGAGGCAGACAGTCTAAATAGTTTGTAAACTTTACGTAAGATGTAGAAAATATTGGTTGGGCAAATGAAAAGCTGGACGTGGCTATGCAAGCCTGTGACCCCAGCCCTGAGAAAGGTCAAGGCAGGACGGCTGGGGCTGGCTGGTCAGCAGCCTAGCGTCAGGTTCAGTGAGAGACTCTGTCTCCAAGGAACAGGTTCCCGTCAGTCAAATAGGTTGGTTTCTCTTCTTGTAGTATCTGTGCCTCAAAGTGTCACAAGAAAACGGAGAAAGGGAGGGTTGGTTTTGGGGACACACACACACACACACACTCATCCCTACACCTGTGTCTTTTCTTTCTTTCTTTTCTTTTTTTTGAGACAAGATCTTGCTTTATAGCCTAGGCTAACCTGGAACTATTTATCCCAGGCTGGCCTTGAACTCAGTACTCCTGACTCGATTTCTCAAATTGGATTAAAGGCCACCAAATTGGATTAATGTGCCACCAAACCAGGTTCCCAGACACACTTTGTTCCATGCTACTTCATGCCCACACCCACAGCTCTAATCCTTCACTGTTGCTGCTATCAGCACCCATATGATCTGATTTGTTTAAATTCCTTTGTTTATTCTGTAAATTACATCCTAACTTAGAGGACTTGAACTGTACCTCCCACCCGACCCGACCCCTTTTGGTTTTGTCTTTTTGAGACAAAGTCTCATGTAGCTCAGGCTGGCCTTGAACTTGCTAAGTAGCTGTGGATGACTTCGAATTCCTGGTCCTCCTGCCTCTGCCTTCCTACTCTGGGATTACAGGGGTGCACACACTCCAGACCCTAGGAGATTAGCCGGAGGAGCAGACCTAACACAGATGTGCTATGTGCAGCTTCAGCTATGTCACGTGCCCTCGGCTCCAGGATTCTCACCTCCCATTTATAGTCAAGGGTTCTGCAGTTTCTCCTAAGTAGGAGACACATTCTACCCTCAGCTTCCTCTCTGTGCCTGGGAGTCACGCCCTCCCCTCTTACACTGTCCATCTCTGCGCAGGTCTACCTAACCTGCCTGTTTTCTGTTTAGCCCTCAGCACCCTGCAGTCCATGCTGCTGCTTTCCTTTCCTGCAGCATGCATTGCCTCTAATGCATTTATGTTGGCCGGGCCCTGTAATTGTTACCATGGAGAAAACCTAAACAACCCCCCTAACATTATTTGTTCTCAAATAGTGATTAAAAAATCACCAATTTTGAAGATCACATGGCTTAGCAATGCAGTTAGTTCCCCGGTAACTCTACTATAGATTTCAACTCTGACAGGTGGGTTGGGATTGGTCGCCCGGGTCAGTTTTTTTTAACATCCTGAAGACTGCTTCTACTGAAAGCTCTCTTCACACCAGCCTCACATCGGGTGGCCGGAAAGAACAAAAAGGCCCACCTCTGTCTTCAGACTTTAATCGGTGCTGCATGCAAACATGTGGACCATTTGAAAACACTTTGGTCCAAAATTACAACGCAGGGTTAATTTACTTCCTTTAAAGCCACCTACAGCATCGGTGACTAGAATCATCAGACCATGAAATGAGCAAAAAGGGGCAGCACAGCCTAACCCTGGGGCCTCACCTGGTCCCAGAAAACATGACCACCACCACCCCGGCCCAGCCCCCAACCTCTTTCCCTCCCTTACAATCATCTCTAACCCCTCACTCCCTAGAGTTGAGAAGTTCATTTCAGGCCGTTTCCAGCTCTTCCATCTTTGGCCACTAGATACTGGCTGGGCGGTGGGACGGGGTGGTGAGATGCCAGGAACATTTCCCCAAGTTTCCTAAATTGTGTATCTCTCCCTGGGGCTGTAAGCACCTTGGAGGCAAAGGGCCTTTTGTTTTATCCACTGATGGGTCCCAAGAGACTGGAATGGTTATAGTCAGTCAGCAATCACCAATGGCTGAACCAAAGAAAATACAAGCTAATACTTGTGGGCGCATAAAGCTGGTAAGGAGGTTGGTTTCCTCTAGCTGGGAAAGGGGCGTGCACACAACTGGGCCTGAAAGCATTTAAAGACAGACATTTAAAACATTTTTTAAAAGGCGGGAAACAAATACTTCGAGGTGTGTTGGCCAGCCTATTCCCTACTGGATTTCACAGCTAGAAACCGACAAGAACCCAAGCAAACCAAATAGGACCCAAATCCTCACTGAGTGGGAGCTGTCCGCTTGTCCCTCTTGCCTCCCTGGCCGCTCTTGGATGCTCGGGGACCACAGACTGGAGAGCGTCGTCATCACCGCGCTCGAAACCGCCGCGCGCTCCGACCGTTGGGTCGGCGCTCCTGGCGGGGGCGCTCTGCGCTGGGGCCGCGCGGAGGACTCCCCAGATCTGCCCGGAAACTCATGACGCTCACCAGACTCTCAACAGGGTTGGCTGAGAGGAGAAGGGCGACCAAGTAGCTTATAAGACAGGATGGGTGCTCTGGAGCAAAGAGTAGGGAAGCTGTCTCCCGTTTCCAAGAGAGTGCAGGTTTGACTCATGACAATCTCTGCTGAGCCGGGCTTGGTGGCACAGACCCGTAATCCTTGCTTGTGGGAGGTGGCGGCAAGAGAAATACGAGTGCACGGACGTCCCTTGGCTACATGGGAGTTCAAGGCCCTCCTGTGTTATATGAGACACCGATTGATTGATTGAAGTTAATTTTTTTCTAAATAAAAAGAAACGATGGTTGTAAAGAAAGGAGTTTTTAAAGTAAATTTATTTTTGTTTAAGTGTATGGGTGTGTGTAAGCCACATGGATACAGATGCCTTTGGAGGCCAGAAGTGGGCAGCAGTTCCCCTGGAGCTGGAGTTAGAGGCATTTATGAACCACCTCATGGGAATTGAAGATCCTATATGGAAGAAGAATAAGTGCTCTTTTTATTTTATTTTGGTTTTTCGAGACAGGGTTTCTGGGGTAAGCTCTAGCCGTCCTGGACCAGGCTGATTTCGAACTCAGAGATTCGCTGTCTTTGCCTCCTGGGTGCTGGGATTAAAGTCGTTTGCCACCACTGCCTGGCCAATAAGTGCTCTTAACCATTGAGTCATCCCTCCAGTCCCAAGAAAAGATCTTTAGACAAAACCAAAGAATGCTTTCCCCTATGACTATTCATCTCTTGGTTTTGCTCCAATGCATTCTGGCTGGCAGTTCCAGTCTTGCTTTGAGTGATGTGCCTCCGGAACTCTGGTCCTTGCTGTTTACCTCAAAATTCTGAGCCACCGAGCTGCTGCCTGGTCCCCCTCTTCCAGGGTATGTGTGACAGACAGTAATTCAACGTGGCTTGGCAAGATTCAAAAAGTCCTTTTTAGCCCGCTGGCCCTAGAGTGTGTGTGTGTGTGTGTGTGTGTGTGTGTGTGTGTGTGTGTGTGCTGTTACTATTTGAAACTGGATCTCATACAACCCAGACTAGCTAGCCTCAAATTTCCCAATGTTCCCAATGTTTCGGAAACTGACCTTGCAGTGATCCTCTTGCCTCTGCCTCCCAAGTGTTGGGATTGCAGGCGTGCACCACCACATACACCACCACGTATACCACCACACACACCACCTCATACACCACCACACACACCACCTCATACACCACCACATACACCACACACACCACCACACACACCACCACATACACCACCACACACACCACCACGTACACCACCACGTACACCACCACGTACACCACCACATATACCACCACGCCTGGCTCCCCTTCCCAATCCCATTCCTCCATCCCTCCCTCCACTTACAAAATGGCCTGAGTGCTCTGAAAAGCATGGAAGATAGCAACCGTGATGATGGCAGTTGGGGGATGGGGGATAAAAAGTCATGGGAAATTCCAGAGTTAGCCCCAAGAGATAAACTGAGGCTCACACGGCAGAGAACTAGAGAAGAGCAAGAATTTATTTAATGGATATAAATCGGGCACTTAGTTTTGAACCACGTGTGGTTTGGGGGGGCCTAGCAGGCACAGCACTCCAGACTTTGAGGAGCTACAGTGTCTACTGAATTGTAGACAAAAGGAAACCACAGCTATGAAAGCAGGAGGTGGGTGAGGTGTGTTCAGGGAAGGTGAGCTGAGTGTGGCCGGATAGGAGAATACTTGGGCTGCTGGTAGAAAGCAAAGCCAGCTACGTGGGGACAGATAGTACCGTCAACCATGCCACACTAAGCCATTTAGACAGGCTCTTCCATAAGGTGGTGGTTTTTGGACAGTTTAGAGCCGTGGGGCACTTTGCTGGAAACCCTGCAGTCACTCAATGTGCACAGCAAAGCAGAGCTGCCGCAAAGCAGCCATGGAAGAGGGTGGGAGGCGCCTCGCTCCACTATCTCACATTCAGCCCAGAGTTCCGGAGAAACCCAGAGAAACACATTTTGAAGTTCCCTGCTGAACATAAGTGAGGGCACTTGGGTGAGTGGAAGGAAGTGCTCTGCTTTGGTGTCCTGGGGGAGGAATGCCGGGGAGGATGGCTAATGCAGGGAAACCAGTTGGGTGGGAAGGAAGACCTGCGGAGGATCCAAGGAAGATTTGGTGCAACACAGAACCCAGTAACTCAGACAGAGGGGCCGGAGAGAGGAGTGGAAGATGATTTCAGGCAGCGAGAGAGTGAAGGTGCCCTCGGCTTGCTTGGCTGTAGTGTCTGCTCAGTTACTTCCTTAGCCATTGCTAGCCTGCAGAACCGGGTTGAAGGTCTCAGCAAGACACGCCTGGCGTCTCGTCATGTCCTTGTGCTCTTCACCAAGACAGACACAGTTGAGAAGTGGCCAAATCCAGTGACAGTGAAACGCTGATCTTGAGCAGGTGGATTAAGTGACTTTATGAACATCTTTTGGGAGCTGGAGATATGGAGCTGAAGCTCTGGGGGTTGGAGGTAGAGACTTAGGGTCACGGAAGGGATGGATGATGAGTGTGTCTAGATGAAGTACAGAAAAGAGGACTAAAGCAAGGACATTTAGGACTCGAATGGGATCACAAGGAAGTCAGGCATGTTTGTAGAGGCCTCCTTTGTTGTTTCCTGTAGTAACAGTCTGTTTGTTAATTACCCCAACAACTCCGGGTACAGATTCCCCCATCTTTGGAAGATCTGAGAAGTGACCAGGGATGAACCACATGATGCCCAGTTTCTACCTTGTATGGGAGAACAGATGGTAGACTCGTGCCCTAGACTCTGATGTCTGAGATTGTAAGAGGGCTATGAACTGGCTATAGCCATGAAGCTCATTACCGCCTTTCCCTTCTACTTTTAGACTTTATTTATTTATTTTTTCAAAGATGAGGACCGAACCCAGGGCCTTGCACTTGCTAGGCAAGCGCTCTACCACTGAGCTAAATCCCCAATCCCGACTTTATTTTTTTAACTGCTTTATATGTGCAGAAATAAAGGGCAGAGAGTTCCCTATCCCTTCCAGTTTCCCAGTTAATAACATCTTTCATTAGTGTTGTCTAGTTGTTACAATTAATAAAGCAGTATTCATGCATTATTGTTAGGGTGTATAGTTTACAGTGAAGTTCTGTGCAGTGTATAGTTCTGTGGACTTTAAATTTATGTGTATAAATTTTCACCTGCATGTATATAAGTATACTACGTATGTGTGTCAGAGCTTTTGGGAGTGGAGTTATAGATGATTATGAGCCACCATGTGGATGCTGGGAATCTAATCTGGGTCCTTTAGAAGAGCAGCCAGTGCTTTTAACCACTGAGCCATCTCTCCAGCCATGATTTTTTTTTTTAAATGTTTGAATCCTTGGTTCCCAGCTGAAATAACTGTTTGGGGAGAATTAGGAGGTGTGACACTCGATGGGCTTTGGGGTCTAAAAGGATCCAGCCATTCCCAGCGTGCCTCTCTACCTCTTACTTTTGGATCAAACGTGAGTGCAAAGCTGTTCCTGCCACCATGCCTGCCCCCCGCCCATCATGGACTCTGACCCTCTGAAACCATAAGGCAAATTAAATGCTTTCTAAGTGACCTTGGTCATTACATTTTGTCACAGCAATGGAAAAGTAACCAACACAAACAGAAAGCAGCCCTAACTTCTGAGCTATTTATCCAGCACTACAGCATCCTTTTTAGTGGTTCAATAACACTGTTCCATTTGTATTATCTGATTCTCTATTGTCAAACACTGATGCTGTTACATGTCATAAAGAAAATACTAGGATGATAACAGCAAGCCTCGGCTCCATACAACAGAAAGTCAACCTTAGCTGACCCGGCAGGAGATTCACTAGCCCAGGTGCTCATGCTTAGCTTTCATGCTCTTTGAGCATACCACATCCCCTCCCCTGCTTTTATAGAGACAGGATCTTATGTGTGTGTGTGTGTGTGTGTGTGTGTGTGTGTGTGTGTGTGTGTGTATACCGTGTAGCCGACAATGAAATGAACTTCCGCTCCTGCCTTCACCTCTCAAGTGCTGAGATTACAAGCATGCCTATCATATCCAGTTTTATGTGTTGCTGGGGCTGGAACCCGGGGCTTCATGCATGCTAGGCAAGCACTCTGCCAACTGAGTTACCTCTCCAGCCCAGAGCAGAGAAGCCTTTCAGAAATAACAGGGTAGCTTAGAAGAAAACATCTGGCAGTCACTCTGATGGAAGAACTAAAGCAAAGCTGTAAACACTACAAGTCATTTTTTCCTCCCAAAAGAGCCTTTCCAAACTCCATAAGCTTCTCTTTGCCAACTCTTTGTCACTGCAGCTCCAGAAGCAAATGAAACCATTGACGTTTCTTGTGGTATTCCAGGCTAGGAGGCGGAACTCCTAGGACTGAAATCCACGTCTTTACACCAGCGTCTGCTCTCTCCATGGGCAATCTCTATACTCTGGATCGTCTGCCTGTTAGACTGTGATCACTGACTAAAGTGACACTGATCTCATCTTGTACTGCCTCCTACCCTCCACCCAGAAGTCTTTATTAATCCCTTCATCCATTCAAGGTTTCTGTTTCTCTGTGGTATCTTGTGGATACGTGTTTACTTACATTTATGTATGTATGTATGTATGTATGTATGTATGTATGTATGTATGTAGTGTGGTGGTTTCTATCTCTGGTTATCCTGGCTATCTCTGGCTATCTAAGACCAGGCTGGCCTTGAACTCCTGCCTCTGCTTCCCGAGTGCTGGGATTAAAGGTGTGCACCACCACTGCCCAGCTACTTTTACATTTAAAAAAAATTTTAAATTCTGTATACATGTTTCTGCATGTGTTGCAGTGCCTGACAAGGCCAGAAGAGGGTGTGAGATTCCCTTGGAACTGGAGTTACAGGCAGGCAGTTCTGAGGCACCCGATGTGGTGCAAGATAGTGTCTCTACT